CATTACTAACAATCCCTTTTCCTCATCATTATAAAATTTGGATTTGGTATACAGGTGCGTATTTGTTTTTTTTTATACAACTTAGAATGACAAACAAGCTAACGGCCCACCTGATGGAAAGTGGTAACCATCGCCTATAGACATGAGCAATACCATGGACATAACAGAGTATACTGTTTCGCCCATGATACCCCCCGTGCGTTGCCATTCCTGAAGACTCAGGTCTTATTCCTCTGTACCCTGTAAATTCACGCCATATCCTACCCTTCAAACCGAAACACAGCCATGCACAACTGCTTTACGGTTGAAACACGAGTGGGACAGAGGTACCCAAGCAAATGACTTTTGTACAAAGTATTGTCCTCTTCCCTCTGGTATATCCCTCTGGTATTGTCATAGAATTTTTCCATTTACCTGACCCGGACTACAGTACAAATAGTATGTAAGGACATAGGCTATTTTTTATCCCGGTCAGTGGACTTATCACAGTCATGCAGACAAAGCCGCAGGTAAAAGCTAGTATAAAACATATCAAATGCAGAAACGTACAATTGTTACGAACACGTGAATGCAAATGACTCAAGTGTAAAGACACTTTATTCTTTTATAATGTCAAGATGTTTCATTCATAAATTATTTAAGCGGCAGTTCTTACGGTTAATATTTTTCAATTGTTAATTTAAAAATATAATTAAAAAATAATTGTTTCATTCTTAAAAACATAATTGTAAAACAATTACAATAATTTTGCCTTTTAAAAATATAATTGATTAAGAAATATAAATTCTGTTTTTTTTTTTTTAAGTATTTTAATCTATTTAAAATAAAAATGTTTTAATAATAAACTACTCTGTAAATTGTGAGTGTAACTTGAAATACTTTTAAAAAACATTGTAACAGTGTTAGTTAGTCCTGTAAGATTAAATTTGTATAATATTTATTTATATCTACTTTACTTCTATTAAATTCAAAACTAGTTAGGCTTTCCCTAATTTAAAGCTTGAGTAAAATAATTATTTGTAATACAGTATGACTCACGATAGTTAATATTCAACAAGATTAAGTTAACATCCCGATACGACCACGGGTGAAGTAGCGGGATACAAATAGTCTATACTAATATTTTAAAATGAAATATATTATTGTTTGTTAGTAATAGATAAACTTAAAAACTACTGAGCACATATTAAAAATATTTTTTTTTATGGGTGAAAATGTAATGGTGACCCCGCCTGCGTTAATAGGATACCCTGGCGGAGCACCAGTGAAGGGTGATCGATGAGAATGAAAACAGGCCAGTTAGCCCATCATGACGAATTCATCAGGAATTAACCATGATAGTTTTCAGGGGGAACCACGAGGAGGAGGAGGTCGATCTGGTTGGGTACATTGCTAGCAATGGGATTTATAGTCCCCATTACTAATAATCCCTTTCCCCCTATCTATAGGTATTAAAGTTTAATAAATAAATAAGTAATCAGCTAGTAACATATATATTTTAATTTAAAAACTCTATCTACACGTGCGAAGCCGGGCTGGATCGCTAGTATAATAAACTTTTATATTCGATCAGTATAATTTATAAATTGCCACTTAAGCACTGCCCCTTAAAACAAGTTCACAGTTCAGGGACCTCTAAAAGTAATTACAAAAGACAATGGCGGTCATCTCGAATCGAGACGATATCGAATCTAGTCGTGTTCGACTCGACCTCTTTTATAATAACAATGAGATGTCGAAGCGATTATCGATGCGTCGGACGACATATCGATTAGCAGATTACACGGACGCCTAATTACCTTAAAAGTTTTAAATAAATAAAAAAAAAACTTCATAATTTCTAATATAGGTAGTATATTCATTTATTTTAACATTTATTATATAAGTAGGTAGGTATTATATTTATTTATAGTATATGTATTTATATAATATTTCATTATAGATTTTAATATTTTATTCAACTGTATATTTGTTTATGTATTAATAGTTGTAGCACTTCAGCCGCCCGCTAACGACATGCTTGCTCACTGTATTGGGTTGACTGGAAGAGATCTCTGTCAGAGATAAGTCCACCCTTGCTTACAACATTTATAAATGCATTATATTACATGTAATTTACAAGTGCAATAAAGAATATATATAAATATTTGACAAATTTTTAATATAAATATTTTTTGCACAATGACAGTATTTTTTTTATATTACTGAGGTGGTAAACAACGACCTACCTGATGGTAAGCGGTTACCGTAGCCTATGAACGCCTGCAATACCAGTATTACGCGCGCGTGGCCAACCCTATTGTCAATTGGAATATCGATGCATCGAATGAAGTATCGATTAAGTGACGTTTTAAAAAAAGAAAGATTATAAATTTAAAAAATTAAAATGCATTTTATTGAGGAGTTCTAAATTTAAAAATTTAAATACAGGATTAAGGTATGGAACCACAGGCTGCCCCGTTAGAAGTCCTCTACCTTGGTGATCTAACGGATAATACATACGCTTTACTTTCCTATGGTCGTGGATTCAATTCCCGTACAATACAAACATTAGGCTTTATAATAATTATTATTATATCCGTCGATTACTATCCACTGCTGAATATAGGTCTTTTCCATAAGCGGAGTTTAATCAGTAGTTGCCATGCTTGGCAGGCGGGTTGGCAACCATAGGTGATACTTTTCATGCGTTGCCTTTCTTGGGAACTAGTGTTATACCTCTGTACCCCGTAATTTCATTGCAATATCATCACCATCTACATTATCATTATTATTGTATCGACCATTAACTGTCCACTGCTGGATAAGTTTGCACAAGTTTCCCTCTAAGGGGGTTTTGCCAGTAGTTGCCACGCTTGGCAGGCGGATTGGCAACTTCCGTTAGGCTTTGAAGATGTTTTAAGAGAGACGCTACTGCTCATCCCTCGCCCTCCCTTAGTCGCCTCTTACGACACTTATGGGAAAGGAAAGGGTGGCGCATTCTATGCATTCTATTCTATAATATACACGTAAAATTCTTATAAATTAAGCCCTTAAACTGCTAGGGGGTAACAACAATCAAATTGACTTTCACATTTATAATATTTATTTATTTTATTTTATTTATTAGGCGCACATAACAGAAGTTTACAAACTTAAATTACCTTAACATGCAAGTACATTAATGTATTGATCAGGTAAACTTGCCACAAACATGTGCACACAGCATGATCCAATAATAAATGCGACTGCAACAAAGCCATTAGGTTGCAACTATTAATGAAAAAAAAAATAAACATAAAAAGAAATATAAACATAAAGAAAGTTAAATAAAAAAAAAAACAAAACAAAATTTCTAAATATTACATTATTCTATACAATTGTCTGCGATATTGATTACAACCGAGTCCAAATATGTCAAGGTCATTCTGATGAGCGTCATTATATGATCTACACATATTCGATATAGGGTTATTTAAAGAAATACTCGTATTATTTCTAAAAAGAGGCACAGTAAAAGTACGTTGAAGACGAATTCGGCCATTCGTATAATATTACTAATGAAATACATTTTTGTACATTACCTGTTATTTAAGTAAAGTTATTTTATTACAAAATTTGACCTTCATTAACGTACACAGGAATGGAAGATTTATTTCAATGTAATGTAAATACAAAAAAAATATGCTTTCTGTTATTATCCCTGATGATGTAGTCTGTCATATAACATCGTGTAGCGTCATGCAGCATATTTTAATGTAATAATTTATAGTTTAACTTAACTGTACTTAGATCGAGATATCTAATAAGTTATAACACGTAAGTTAAACCGGTAGTTAGTACTTTAAAATATAATGTGTGCTTACGAAACTTTTAACAAAAAAAAATATAGCATTTTTAAACCAAATTTCTTTACTATTGGTTCAGCTATTAAGGCGGTGAGAGGTGAAAATAAACTCACTTTCACTTTTACCATATTAGTAAGGACTACCCCGGGTAGATTAGTAGAAGTATATATATATATATATATATATATATATATATATATATATATATATATATATATATATATATATATATATATATATATATATATATATATATATATATATATATATATATATATATATATATATATATATAATATATATATATATATATATATATATATATATATATATATATATATATATACTATACGTGTTAATCTTTAATAATGTAGCAAACAAAAAGAGCTAGAATGATTATTCATAAAATATTAATAAGATAATAAAATTTTTCCTCTTTATTTATCTTTTATCGATCTTATTTTTTAATATTATACTTTTTTTTTTTTTGCAACTTAGAATGGCAAACAAGCTGACGGCCCACCTGATGGAAAGTGGTAACCGTCGCCTATATACATGAGCAGTGCCATGGACATAACAGAGTATACTGTTTCGCCCATGATACCACCCATGCGTTGCCATTCCTGAGGACTCAGGTGTTATTCCTCTGTACCCTGTAAATTCACGCCATATCCCATGCTTATAAACGAAATTATTTATGCTTTCTAGAAAATACTGGAATTATTATTATATAATTTTATTGTATTTCCTTACATTTATCTACAAATAGAAAGAGAATAAAATTATTTCTGCTTTTTAGAAAATATTGTATATATTTTTATATCATTTTAATGTTTTCCCCTAACTATATTTTGGAGATCATACAAAAATGTCAAGGTTTTGTAATTTCCATATCATGATCAATGGCCAACAATACAATGATGAAATAATAAAATAAACACTCTTAATAACTTGTTCAGGCGTTTGACAGCAACAATTAGGGTTTTGTCACGCTGTACGTCCGTCTGTCACGTCCACACGTACGCCCAAATAGTCATTAGAGGTTAATTTTAGAGTATAAATAACATTTTTTGATTAGTGAAGACACATATCTCAAGCGAGTCCTGAAGAGGATACATCAAAGATGAAGATGTTTATGGTGTGTATAGTTTAACATACAGTGACATAAAGTGAAAAGTGAATATTTAAATAAAAGTGCTCCGTAAAGGACAAAGAAAATAAAAAAATATACATACATACATACATATCTGTCACGCCTGTCTCCCATTAGGGTAGGCAGAAACAATGGAACGCCAAATGCTACGATTAAAGTGCTCCGTAAAGGATAAAGAAAATAAAAAAAAAAATATCAGTTTAACTTGCCTTTAGTGATTCTAGGCATTTAGTGATACTAAACTTGTGCTCGCCAGTGAAAGTTGGGATTGTTTATTAATTATGAAATTTCTCTTTCAGTTGTTCTTGGCCATAGGCCTTGTGAGTACGGAGAAATTGGATCGAACGTATTTACCACCACCTGGTGCTAAGTTTTCTGGAGGAAGCCCAGGAGATATTCAGACGCCTTTAGAGTTCCCTAAAGATACTTATCCTACGACAACACGACCAGACGATCGGTTAACTCATACAGATGATTCCCAAATAGAAGTTGGAATAAACAGAGGATTACCACCAGTTTCTGAAGGACCAGGCCTGCCTACAGTTTATAGACCTCTTGCCCCAAGTTCTAAACCATCATATGATTTCCAAAATATTTATAAATTACCAACAACGACGACGTCATACGCTTTCTCTCAAACTACCACGCACCCTCCCGTAGAAGGCTTAGATAATACAGTTGGCCCATTCGGTCTCATAACTTCTGGGTTCCCAACAACCTATTTCCCTGATTTCTCAACTACTTCACCTGGTTTATTTACGGCACCTCATTTGGAACAGGGACAGGAAAATATTTCTGGATATCAACCATCTGGTAATATTCAACAACCTGGACAGGTACCTCCTTTTAAAGACGCTGTGTCTCCATCCATTACACCTGTTAGTCAATCCGCCATAGATCAGAATCGTCCTGGCTATTCCGTAGAACAGCGTAATCAATACCAACATGTACAACAACCAGTTTCAAATGTTCCCTCTGGATCTAAGATGCAAGTATCTGATTTCGTATCCCAGTTCCCCCAATCAGAAGGACAAAATGTAGGTCAATATCAAGGATTCCCGACAAGTGTTCAAACTGTAGATCAGCCTGGTCTTGTTACATCTAATGTCCCAACCTCTATATCGCCTGATATTACTGCCTCTTATGTTAATAATTTTGATCGCACACAAGGGCAAACATTTCCTGGCAAAAATGTTCCTCCACTGAATCTGACTCCTAACCAGCAGTCTGTAACAACTCAAAGTGATATGATTAGCCCTGGTTCACAATTTATTCAGCAACCAGGACAGCAGCAATACCAAGGTAATGCAGCAGGGAGGATTCCATCACAACAAGTTCTCTCCCAAACAGACACAAAATTTGGACAACCTGGCTTCGAAGATTCACAAAATGTTTATACACCATCTTCTACTATTTCTCCTGCTATTCAGGCATCAGATTTCCCCCGTACGCCTAATTTACAGACTTCAGCATTGCCTGATGAGAATATTTTAGCATCAACTCCAATTTATACAGATATTAATCGAGGAATTATTCCAAGTAGACCAGTAAATCGTCCTGAAAGACCACAAGCAGAATCAGATAGAAATGCTGTTATCCTTAATTATGAAAATACCATAACTCCTGAAGGAGAATTCGCATACAGTTTTGATACTTCCAATGGCATACATGCAGAAGAGAATGGAACATCAGTCGACGGTGTGAAAGCAAAAGGAGCATATTCATATATTGGTGACGATGGCAAACTATATAGTATTGTATACTCAGCAGATGAAAATGGTTTCCAACCTCGTGGAGATCATTTACCTACACCTCCACCAGTACCTGAAGCTATACAAAAGGTTATAGAACAAGCTATCAGAGATAAAGAAGCTGGTATATCTGATGATGGTAAACATTTGAACATTATAATTAGATATTTTAAGATTTAGATCAAAGTTACATAAATAAGTTAACAAATTTTAATAGGCGTAAAATTTTAGTTTATCTTAGAAAGCAACAATTTTAATATTTTAATTTCTTTCAGGTACTTACAATGACGATAAATATGGGCATAAGAAATATCAAGGTATTATGAGTGGTTACCGCCCTATAGGATCAAGCCAAGATGTTAATAAAGATAGGGATGTCACCAAATTACCTAAGAATCGTTACAATGATGACGGCGAGATAGTATCAGTTGGAAGTGAAGGAAAATACATTCCTAGTGAAGAAGAAAGTGGTGATGATTTAAAAGATACTACCGTAGGTAACAGACGTCGACCCGGTAGTATGATTTCTTCAAAACGTCCTGTTGGTCAATTATCGACTGAAAATGGTAATGAAGAAGATCAGGATCGTTATGAAGGTTTACCTAAAAATGAATATGATCGTCGTCGACCAATTAATAAAATTCCCGAAAGATATCCTGCAAATCGTATACCAGAAGATAGTAATAATGAGAATAATCAGGAATTTTATGATGATTTAAGAAGTGACAGTAAAAAGTATCCTATTGAAAATGTACCTACCAAACCTTTCTTCAAGAAACAACCCACTGATGTTAATACACCTACTTATGAAGAAGACTTTGCAGATAATGGAAAAGTATCCATTGGAAATATAAACTTTCAGCGTCCCTCTAATCAGTTTCCAGGTACTGATGTAGATGATGAAAAAGATAATTTCCAAAAATACAGTAGTCAGAGACGACCTACAACTAAAATCCCATCTAGCACATCAGATGACCGTATAAAAGTAAACAATGAATTGAAATATGTAAAACAAGGGAAGACCCAACCGATTGAAGCTGGAATAAGTAAGTCTCAAATACCTGATAAATTTTATCCAAATGCTGATAAGTATTCGTTAAGTCATCCAAAAGACGATACTGTAGAATATGAAGATCAAACAGAAGTTTCTGGTGATGCTGCTCAAAATTCAAATATTCCAATAGTACGTGGTCGTATACCTTCAGAAATATCAGGTAATAAATTCGTAGATTCCGATGATACTACTTATAAATCAGTATCACAGACTAGGAAACCATACACACAGAAAACAGTGACTACAACACCATTTACAACGAAGCGCCCAAGTTTCGTTGATAGATATAATCAAAATAGAGATAAGTCACAAACGCAGACTACACTTACACCTGAAACTGTATCCTATGATCAATTTGAAGAAAATCTTGCTACTGGATCTCCATATACTAGTCAAAGTGGAAAGCAATCAACATTTAAGCAACAACCTATTGCTGGAAACAAATTAACCAACTTACCTACAATTCAAAAAGAAAGTGGTTATCAGTATCTACCGCCACAAAAGAAATTTGAACAGGGTACATCTAAATTTCCATCAAAATCACAAGAAATATTACAATCTACAAAAATTCCTTCAAAATATTATGATAGTAAAGATAACGGAATAAATGCAAAACCCTTCACAACACCCAGTGTGACTCGTGATGAAACAGTAGATAATGATTACGAACATGTTCCGGAAGATGAACAATACGGAACATCCATTACAGCCAAGCCCAGCTATACACCTAATTTAAACCAAAACCAACCACCATTTACTCAACAGAAAGATTTAAATCAGTATAATGGTCCAGAATACAATGTACAACAAACTACACCTTCTCGATATGATAATGAAGATACTCAAAATAGATTTCCTGGACAAGTTAGTCCACAAACAGTTGCTTCACGCCGACCTTCATATCAAGAAACGAAGACAACTGGTAGACCTTACCAACAATTTAGACCTGGTTTAGAACATGAAAAATCACAAGATATTGAAAAACAGCCACTACCCGGCCAAGATAAAAATAAGTATTTTGATGAAAAATATCCAGATAGACCAAGTGGTTCTTTTGGATTGATTCCTTCAACTGCGTCAACGCCAGCTGAAGGTACATTTGTTACTACTGCCAAGACAGATGTTTATAGACCGGGGCAAGACTTTCAGGTAAATAATGAGGGAATTGGTAAGCGTCCTGGTACACAAGAATATGGTTACATGTCAACCACCAGAATGCCTTCACAATCACAGTCAATAGGAAATATCCCATCACAGTCACCTAAAAGCACATATCGACCAACTGTTTCTGAAACAGATGACTATTCTAGAACTCCAGGTTTTGAAACATCTCGGAAACCGGGGTCTAAAATACCTGGTAGACCTAGTACGTACTCTAAAGGACAACTTCCTAGTACTACGTATCGACCTCCTTTTACGTTGAGAGATGATACTGATCAAGAAAGCGTAATTGATGAATTTAGACCAGTTTCAAATAAATTCCAACCTAATCAAGGATTCGAGCGCACTACGACATATCGACCAAAGTATTCTGGTCAAGACAGAGCTGCAAGTACTCCAGGTTACCAAACTCCTGATGATAGAATGTCTACAGAATTTAAGCCAGGTTTTGGTAGATTTGATACTCCAACTACCTTCCCCGCAACACAGGAAGGGTTATCTACTACAACACCATACAGAGCTCAACCCACAACACAAAAGGTCATCGGCGAAGATTTCAGTGGCCCCAAACAACCTCAAAAGTTCGATCCGAAATATGGTTACTATTATTAATAGTCTCAATGGATATTATTTATTATAGTTTAATTTATTCTAGCAGCAAAGAAAATGTATAAAAATAAAATAGTGAAATTAAAAGTTTTTTTTTTTATTATTAAAAAGTTAATACCTCTATAATATATTGCACAGCGTCTTCTAGTACCAAACAGATGTTGTTCTATGGATACGAAATCTCTGATAGAGATATATAAATATTTATTTTTTGTAAATATATTATATATAATATTATACATTAAAGATATATAATATTATAATTAAAGATTTTTGCCTCATAAAAAAACTAACTTCAATTGTATATATGTCTATAGGCGACGGTTACCACTTTCCATCAGGTGGGCCTTTAGCTTGTTTGCTATTCTAAGTTGTATAAAAAAATAATTTACGTAAGTGGAAATAAAAATGTAATTATTTACATAATAAACAGATTTTCAATTAACATAGCTAAGATAATATCCCTATTATCTGTCTCAAATAAGTAATCAAATAAAAAATTGTGTTCGACAAAAACAAAACATACTCTTATTGTGGCAAATTCAATTATTTTGATTTCATAACTAAATTACTGTACCGATTTCCATGTGATCAATCTGAAAGTATATCCTTTCAGTAAAAAAAAAAGAATTTTCCAAAAAAATCTTTACCTCTTTTTTGAAGAACCTTATATCGTAATCTCTTGGAAAAACTGAGAATGAACTCCTTGTCCATGGCGAACTGTACGATGGTAGAAAGTCGCTATGGGCATCATATTTAACAATTCCTCTGAGCACAGTCCGTTGTATAAGCGATAACACACCCAGAGTGAGGCAAAATCTCATCTAAGATTTAAGGGTTCGATATCGCTTATAAATTTTCACATTTTATGATATGTATTGTATTTATTAATGGGATAAGAGAAATTCTATTAAAATAATACGATATTACAAAACAACATATTGACATTTCGAGAAGCTCCATCTAGTCATTGTTCTATGAAACTTTTAATCATTAGATATCAATGATTTTAGTGAATTGCCTGAACATTCTCGATCAATAAGCACATAATCATAAACAATGTAACGCTACACTCACGCAATAGATGGCGTGCAAATGATTGCTTTATTATTATTGTATACTGGTTTAAAATTATTATTTAAATTTTAAAGATATAATTATATTTTAAAATAAAATATAAAGCCTATACCTTCTGTTTCTTGTTTTTTTTATGTAAATAAAGTGGCAAACAAGTATAGGGATTGGCTGATAGTAAATTGTAAACTTCCGATGAATACAAATACAAATTTTAAAAAGTATATATATATATATATATATATATATATATATATATATATATATATATATATATATATATATATATATATATATATATATATATATATACTCGTATATTATTCATTCCCAAAGAGGGTTGACGTCAGGCAGGCGGCCGGTCGTAAAACCAAAAGCCAAATCTTTTTGTAATATGGATAAAAAACATTTAATATTTAATATTACACCGACCTCAAATAATAATTGGAATAAGAGTAGGAAGTTGATGATGATGATGACGATTATTCATAATCATATCATAATATCAGCTTTTATCTGTCCATTGCTAAACATGGGCCTTGCTCATAGACTGTCATAAGGAACGGTCCTAAGCCACCTGCATCCATTGACTTGAGGTTATTTGAGGCCGTCATTCCATCTAGTGGAGGATCTTCCTATACTGAGTTTTGCCTGTACAGGATCGCCAGTCGATAACTTTCTTCCCCATCGGTTGTCCGTTCTTCATAGCTATATGACCAGCCCATTGCCACTTCAGCTCGCTTGTCCTTCGGACTATGTCAGTCACTTCGGTTCTTCTATAAATATTTTCATTTCGGATTCTATCATGCAAAGAAATTCCGAGCATAACTATCTCCATAGGGGGGACAGGGATTGTTAGTAGTGAGATCCAACAGACCCATTACTAGCAATATACCCTAACAGGTCGACCTACTTGCGGTTCCCCTTGGAATCCATGGTGGTTAATTTTTGATGAAATCGTCACGATGGGCTAACTGAAATAACTTTTCATCCTCACCAATCATTCCACATTGGTGCCCCGCTAGCGTATCCCGGTAGGTGGGATGACCATTCAATTTTCATCCATTAAAAAAAAAACCGTCTCCATAGCTCGCTGAGTAACTCAAAGCTTTTGCATACGGGCAATATATATAGATAAATGCTGCCAATAACAAAAAGATTTACCATAATACTAGTTTTTACCCGCGACTTTGTCCGAGAGACCATGACCTAATGTGACAAAAGCCTATACCCTTATCCATTCCATATAGTACATGAATACCAAATTTCGTAGAGATTGGTTCAGTCATTAAGGTGCTAAGAAGTAAACAACAAACACCCTTTTTTAGGGGGGGAAAGAGATTGTTAGCAATGGAGTTTGACAGCCCCATTTTTAGCAATACGCCCTATTAGGTCGATCTCCACATGGTTCCTCCTGGAAATCATCGTGAACAATTCTTGTTGAATTTGTCACGATGGGCTAACTGACCTGCTTCATCCTCACCTATCATCTTTCACTGGTGCCCCGCCGGTGTATACCGATAGCGCGGGTGGGGTTACCATTCCATTATCACCCATTAAAAAAACACACTTTTTCACATTATTATATACATTTAGTATGTTAAAATTGCTGACGCAATCGAGTAATATAGCTGCAAAAAATTAGGAATCATCATCTTCGGAAGTCACTTAAAAATAAAGCCTACAAAATAAAAACTAATCAATACGTTTCAATACAAATGTTACTCACCATTTGTATGAGTTTATATAATAGCACTTTTTGTATGTCTGTGTTTTTGTGTGGCCCTAATGGAGTCGGGTCAAGGGGTCCGTTCGGTATCCGGATATTGTGTCAAAGTCAAGGTCGAACCATACGAGCGTATACCATTAGTTAATGGGCCGGCCATTTGTCTTACGAATAATTTTGAGTTATTAAAAATAGACGATTTGTCAGAAATATTTAGTAGGTAGTTATTATGTAATCATTTTGAACGGACTTCATAATGAATAAGATTCTCAATTCAAATATGTTTTTTTTTTTATGTTTGTTACCTCATAACCCTGTCAGTAGTGGACAGATTAAAAAAAAAACTTTTTTTTATCTGAAAGGATATACTTACATATTGGTCCCATAGATATTTTGTCAAAATAAATTTAGTTTTCTTTTTTTTATACGACTTATAATGGCAAACAAGCTGACGGCCCACCTGATGGAAAGTGGTAACCGTCGCCTATAGACATAAGCAGTACCATGGACATAACAGAGTATACTGTTTCACCCATGATACCCCTCATGTGTTGTCATTTCTGAGGACTCAGGTGTTATTCCTGTGTACCCTGTAAATTCACGCCATATCCCACCCTTCAAACCGAAACACAGCCATGCAAACACAACTGCTACACAGTAGAAACACGAATGGGACAGAGGTGCCCAAACAATCGACTTTTGTACAAAGTCTCCCTCTAGTATTTAGAAGTTTAGTTAAATTAAAATAACTGGTTATGTCACAATTAAAGTTGTTTTTTTTTTTTTTTTTGTGGGACACTCTTAACACAGGTTATTATATTAACCTACTTAGAAGTCCAGTTCTAAAACCACAACCTCTGTACCCTTATAAAACTGTAATATAAATATTAGTTAAGAAACTACAGTTATGTTTTTTTACGAATAAATCCCATCTCGTCTATAATTATTTCGACTTTCTAAGCCGGCAATAGCATTTTTATTTTTATTTATTTATTAATTTAACACTTTATTGCACCAACATAACAGGATTTGTAGAACAATTTTCAATACGTATAGTGTAGTACAAAAGGCGGTCTTATTGCTAAGCAATCTCTTCCAGACAACCTTTGGGTAGAAGGAATTAAAGCATAAATAGGTAGGTGGCGCGTTAAAAAAAATAGATCTGTAAAAAATAATATCTGTGACAGCATAGTCATATACACATACATAAATAAACACATACATCCAAATATATACATATATATATATATATATACATACATATACATATGTACGCAATTCATTCATTTCATTTATTATTTCATTTATTCATTTATTTCATTCCGAGGTTTGAAAAGATATTTTCCTTCTTTATTACATCTTTATTTCTATTTTTCTATCATACTTTATTTACCTATTTTTCCCTTTTGATTTTTCTTTTATGTTCACTGTGAAAACTAATTTCCTTGTCAAGTAAACTTGTAAATTTCTTATACGCACCCGTAGCTCGTAAATTACCTTCGTGCGAATTTCTACCATTGCGATATGCTCTTGAGATATTGAGTAAGGTACATTGCTTTGTGCAATAGAGAAAAAATGAATTAAGTAGTAAGAATATGTGATTTTCAGAATAACTATTATATTGCAATAGACAGATTTGTACCGTCCGACGGCTTATTAGACGTTTATAAGAGTTTTTGTCGAGACCAAGAGGTAATTGGCCGACAGATGGTGCCCTTGCGACATTCTATGTCATTCTCTCATGTCGGGTGTAGTGGATAAGCTGTTTTTATAATTTACGATTTCAAATTTCGAATTGTCCTTAATTTTTAAACGATTTCTGAGGTGAATCTCGATTCGTCTGTATATTTATTGCGTGTACAAATGAACTTAATAAAAATGTTACCTTTTTTTATACAATATAATAAACGTTCTTGACAAGTGAACATGAACTTGTAAAAATGTTAGCTATGTCGACAACTGAACACGCAATTGATGAAAATATTAACTTTGTTGACAAGTGAACATGTATTTGATAAAAAACATTACCTATGTTGACAAATGAATATGAACTTGATTAAAATGTTAACTGCATTAACAAGGGTTTGTTGCATCGTGATAAAAGATGTTAAATTTTTTTTGAAAATAAATAATGAAATTGTAAAGAGAAAAATAAAACATGTAATAGTAGACATATCATTTTTAGCCACCTAATTTTATAATATTATTTTTTATTTATTTTTATTATACAAAACTGAAGAA